AAAGAATATGTGGAATCATGCCTTGTTATAAATGATTTATGGAAGGTATACCAGTGGGACGAGAAGGTTTGCAGCTTTTTGGAGTCTTTTAAAATTCTCATGTAACGTGTACACTAGGCACATTCTGCATGCGAAATTTTGATTCACACATGATTTATTGATTTATTGAACGGCAGAGTAATACTGCTAAAGATGTTAATTAAATTGTATCTCTTGGTAAAAAAAGATGAGATGTATGAAAACCTGTTTTTTTTTTTTTTTTTTTATTTAATTTATTGCTTTTTGCAGTGGTGCCACTTGCAACAAAGAAAGAAACGCTTGCTGGAACTGATGAAAAGAATGCTTAATTATCAGATGGAAAACGATAATGCGTCCGGAATGCGCATCGTCACTGAACAGGACATGAATGAGTACATTTTCTTCATTTAAATTTTTGGTGCGAAGAATTAGAGATTGAGCGGCTTAGCCTGTAAGCAACTATGGTTTGTTTTTAGAGTGCACGGAGTGCAGACAGTGGAAGGTTTGATGGACGTTTCAACAAAATTTCAACTTTATTATGGTTCAGAAGTACCGAAAATGATCGACTGGGAAAAAATCCAGAATTTGAGCGAGGATGATCCTGAGCGTGAAGCTGCTGAGATGCGGTTTCGTGCTGCGACTCGGACTGATAAATATATGGTATTTTTGTGCATTTTTTTGCAGCTATGCAACGCAGAAAACGCATATTGTCAAGAGGTTGTCTGTGCGTGTGTGTGTGTGTGTGTATGTGTTCGCTGGGCGTCTGTACCGATTTTCATCTACAAAAGCTACCGGGCTGGAACTTTGAGAACTTGATCTACATGCATGTACGAGCTTCCATCCCCAAAATGGACGGTCTAACCCGCGTCGTGCTAGGTACGGGTGAGTAGGTAACTCGGGAACCAGAAGAGCTTGAAAGCTGAAATTTTAAGGAGATGTCCCCCGTCCACACAAGTCTTAATGAGCTTCAAACTAGTCTCCGGGTGCACGCGGTATCCATGTACAGGCCCGCCAAAGTTTTTTTCGCGTAACTTGTTAATTCCGGAACCTGAGGAGCTAGAAGGCTGGAATTTTAAGAGGATGTTCCCTGTCCACGTAAATCTCTGTGAGCTCAAACTCACCCCCCGGGCAAGCGTGGTACCCATATACGGGCCCACGAAATTTTTTCCGGGTAAGCTGCTAACTTGGGAACCTGAGAAGCCAGAGAACTGGAATTTTAAGGGGACATCCTCCGTTTACATAGGTGTTAATGAGCTCTAACCTAGACACTGAGTATGCGTGATACCCATGTACGAGCCAGCGAAATTTTTTTCGGGTAAGCTTCTAATTCGAAAACTTGAGAAGCTAGAGGACTGGAATTTTAGAGAGGTGTTTCCTGAAAGTTCTGACAGCCAGTCTTAATTTGTTTAGCTAGTAGCATTTTCCGGAAAAACCGGTGCCGACAGCGACAAGAACTGCGGGGAACTATGCAAAAAATGCATCTTCGCACCGGCAGCCGGTGTGTTGGCCAGTTATTTTCGTTTGAACTTGAAATGGCTATTGTAAATGTGGGGGAAGGAATGTTCGCTTCATTCACCGGTTTCTGCATCTCGTTTTGGCATAACAAACATCTTTACTCTTGTGTATCGCGTAAACTGCAGCATCTGGTTGATACCGCTAATACTTGGCCAGATAATAATGCAACGCAGTGTATTTTTAGCAGGCCTGAAAGTTCCCAGAGTTTGCAACAATCAGTATTTTTGTTGGAACTTGTTTTTGCGATTTGTGAAAAACCTTAATTAAGTCGTTGGTTTTCAGCTTTGCATTCAAAATGGATTGGGCGGATTAGCGGCGCGCTTTGGCCTAACTCCTCTACAGTTTGCGGAAAATCTGGACTGGAAGCGTCATGAGATTGAGCAGGATGATGAAGAGCCGTTGAAAGCTGCAGAGCAGTATGTGTGCCCCAGTTTCCCCACGCCTGAGTCAGTTCTAGCCGGTGCTATTCACATTGTTGCTAAGCAGCTAAGCCGGGAACCAAAGGTTCGTGAAATGCTACGAAGGCGATATCGAATGCGCTTGAGAATCACAGTTTGCCCAACAAAAAAGGGTCGAGAGGAAATCGACGAAAATCACAAGTTGTGGCCGAGGAGGTTAGTAAGCTTTGGTTTTTTTCGTCCTTGCGGTCATTTTTTTTCAAAATTCAGATGATTTAAACACGATGTACGAGCATGCTTGAGCGTTTGATAGTATTCTCATCGACCTAAATAAAGGGCTCAGAGTCTCTGGGCGAACAATGATCTAACTATATATGCACATGTACATATGTATTTGACCACAACGATGTGCATGTTACTCTAGGGGAGAGAAGGAACCGGGGAGGGGGGGGGGCAGGAACAGGAATGCGCTTGAGAATCAGTAAAGATTGGCAGGAACAGGCGGGAAGAAGGGTAAAGTGTTAGGGAAGAATGTGAGAAGAGAATTGGTGAGCTTTAACAGACTTTAAGAAAACTGCCAGGCGACAACGAGATGCTGGAAAAGAAGAAGGAGAAAACTGTTCAAAAATGTTGTTCCGAGCATCCGGCTGCTCCACATTTGTTGGAAAATGAAAAAAAATTTCTGTTTTGTTTTGGACGAATTCACGAAGCTTCATTTATTTACATATTGCTCATATTTAGGTACATTCGCGACAAGCCAGTGGCTCAGTTGCGGCATGACGAGTTTCTTTGGTATGCACAGGTTCGTTGTCATTTTTCTTTTCATTTCAGCAAACTAAGTGGATTTACATCTATGTTTTGAAAAGAAAAAAAAAATTGTTTGTTAACACTTTTAGCTATTTTTCAGGCGAAGTCTGCGGGTCTACTTAATGTGAAGCTTCACTGTGATACAGACGAGGAAGTGCGATTCAAAAGGACGTTGCTGCAGGAATTTTTGACCGATCAACCCTACTATAAGTAGGAAATTTTGTTATTTACAGAAACACTTAAGGATTCTTTTTGATTTTTTTAACTGGATCTCACTGAGATATAATGGATTTACACAGGGTGTGAGCACCTATATGGATGGGCTAAAAAAAGAAAAAAATAATAAACTGCGCAGCAAATTGCAGTACCAAAGTCACACAAAAACATAATTTCTTAAATAACTTGAGTCATGTGAAGCTAGAAACAATGCACATTATTCAGATCATTTTTTGTAGTCGTCGAAAAATACATGATTTTCAGGGATGAGTATTCTCGAGTTGTAGATCTCTGGAATAAAGCAAGGGAAGAGGCGGTAATTGTTTGTGTAAATAGCTTTATTTTGCCGGTATTGGAACGCGAGGCACACGGACGACTGCTGCAAGAATCGAGGGATTACGTGATTAAGGCAAGTTCTTTGTATCCTATTTCTCGCTATTTTTTTGTGAAGCGCACTTTTTTATTCACATGTGTGACCAGTCTTCTGCATGCCTTAGTTGCTGAATTGAAGCTGGCCGGGATTTAGTCAACATTCAGCCTGGCTGGTTTTGTAGCTCTTTTCTGCCACAGAATAATGTGCTTCATCTCTCGTACCAATTTTTTTTCTGATACTTAACCGTGCTTCCTCTTTTTAGACTCCGGAGAAAATGTGGATTTTTCTTCGTCTCACTAGCATTGTCCATTTGTAATTTGCTTCACGGAGTTCCTTTCATTGTTTAGTAAAAATTTATGGCAAGAAGTCAAAATTATCTCTCTGTGAGTGACTGAAACATTTTAAGACAAGCTAGTGATAGCAATTGTCAACAGCAACTGTTCGCTGCTGTCAGTGTCTCAACCTCTTTTGGGGGGTTTTTTTGGGGTAAACATATATCAGTATTGTTCCTTATTGAATTGAGTGAATCATAGAGGGGTTGTTTGTTAGCTGAGAGAACTGGACTTTCCACCTTCTGCCCAAAATCAGCGTTATTTGCAGCTGCCCATGCTTACTGATAGTAAAAAGTAGGATCACTTAATTGCGTCTCAGTAACCGATCACATTTTGGTATGTGTCCAATTTTCAAAAAAAACCCTGAATTTAAAACTCTTAATTTTTTCGTTATACTGCTCAGCAGCTGGCCACTTTGCTCTGGGCTCATCCCATCCAGCGTGAGTTTTCCGCATAGAGTCTCTTCTTTCGAAAAAGCGATAACACCTGTTGTTCTGTAAATTTGCCGTAACATTTCAGCAAAGTACACAAAATCTTTATGATCGTATCAGGATGGCAGCATATCGTAGCCCACATGAATACGGCGACGATTCTGAAAATGGATTTACTGGTGGAACGAGGGTTCTGAGCATTGCTTATCCGGAGGAAAGGTAATTATTGTAACTGATATTAGTGAAATATTAGAAAAAATTGTCTTGAAACTGTGTAGCTTAAGTCGAATTGTGGTAATTATTTTAGAGGACAGGCATCGTTTTGTGCTTTGCTCGATCAGGATGGCCAGGTTCTCGATCATCTGCGATTAGTAAATATTACGAAAGGACTGAATTCGAGGAGGCCGGGGGAAGCAGATCTAAAGGTTTGCAGATTCTTCATTGTTTTCTGAACATCATAATCTTGCAGACGTAGATTTTGCTTTAAATTTTGGTTTTCAGCGCCAAGATTTGAATTCTCTTCGTAAATTCATTGAAAAGCGTCGTCCTCATGTGATTGCAATATCTGGCGAAAATATGGAAGCGATTTACCTTCACCGTGATATCTCGTCAATGGTACGGGAAATTGAAACTCCCGCAGATGTTGCTGTCGAGATCGTGGATAGTGAAGCTGCTAAAATTTACATGCACAGCAAACAAGCAG